GGGGGCGGTGGGGGCAGCATAGTGGGCACTCGCCGCAGATTCAGATTAGAATTCGCCACGCCTGGGGGGCTGCGATCTGCGAAACCGTCGTCTCTTTCGAGAGCTGCTGGGGGGCGGTGGGGGCAGCATAGTGGGCACTCGCCGCAGATTCAGATTAGATTTCGCCACCCCTGGGAGGCTGCGATCTGCGAAACCGTCGTCACTTTCGAGAGCTGCTGGGGTGGGGGCAGCATAGCGGGCACTCATCGCAGATTCAGATTAGACCTCGCCATCCCTTGGGGGCTGCGATCTGCGAAACCGTCGCCATTTTCGAGGGCTGCTGGGGGGGCAGCATAGTGGGCACTCGCCGCAAATTCAGATTAGACCTCGCCATTCCTGGGGGGCTGCGATCTGCGAAACCGTCGCCACTTTCGAGGGTTGCTGGTGGGCCAGCATAGTGGGTACTCGCCGCAGATCCAGATTAGACCTCGCCATCTTTGGGTGCTGCGATCTGCGAAACCGTCGCCACTTTCGAGGGCTGCCAGAGGGGGGACAGCATACTGGGCACTCGCCGCAGATTCAGATTAGACCTCGCCATCCGTGGGGGGCTGCGATCTGCGAAACCGTCGCCACTTTTGAGGGCTGCTCGGGGGTGCCAGCCTTGTGGGCATTCGCCGCAGATTCAGATTAGATTCCGCCACCCCTGGGAGGCTGCGATCTGCGAAACCGTCGCCACTTTCGAGGGCTGCCATGGTGGGGGCAGCATAGTGGGCACTCGCCGCAAACTCAGATTAGACCTCGCCATCTTTGGGTGCTGCGATCTGCGAAACCGTCGCCACTTTCGAAGGTTGCCGGAGGGGGGACAGCATAGTGGGCACCCGCCGCAGATGCAGATTAGACTTCGCCACCCCTGGGGGTCTGCGATCTGCGAAACCGTCGCCACTTTCGAGAGCTGCTGGGGGGCGGTGGGGGCAGCATAGTGGGCACTCGCCGCAGATTCAGATTAGAATTCGCCACGCCTGGGGTGCTGCGATCTGCGAAACCGTCGCCACTTTCGAGAGCTGCTGGGGGGCGGTGGGGGCAGCATAGTGGGCACTCGCCGCAGATTCAGATTAGAGTTCGCCACCCCTGGGAGGCTGCGGTCTGCGAAGCTGTCGTTACTTTCGAGTCTTGCTGGGGTGGGGGCAGCATAGCGGGCACTCATCGCAGATTCAGATTTGACCTCGCCATCCCTGGGGGGCTGCGATCTGCGACATCGTCGCCACTTTCGATGGCTGCTGGGGGGGCAGCATAGTGGGTACTCGCCGCAATTTCAGAGTAGACCTCGCCATTCTTGGGGGGCTGCGATCTGCGAAACCGTCGCCGCTTTCGAGGGCTGCTGGGGGGGCAGCATAGTGGGTACTCGCCGCAATTTCAGAGTAGACCTCGCCATTCTTGGGGGGCTGCGATCTGCGAAATCGTCGCCGCTTTCGAGGCCTGCTGGGGGGGCAGCATAGTGGGCACTCGCCGCAGATTCAGATTAGAATTCGCCACGCCTGGGGGGCTGCGATCTGCGAAACCGTCGCCACTTTCGAGGGCCGTGCGGGGGCGGCAGCATAGTGGGTGCAGATCCAGATTAGACCTCGCCATATTTGGGCGCTGCGATCTGCGAAACCGTTGCCACTTTCGAGGGCTGCTGGGGGGTAGGCAGCTCAGTGCGGAACTACACAGCTCTGATCGGGACCTTGCCATCTCTGGGGGGGGGACTGCGACTTGCGAAACTGTCGCCACTTTCGAAGGCTGCTAGGGAGGGGCCAGATTAGTGCGGTGCTTCGCAGATCAGAGCGGGACCTCGCTATTTTTGGGTGCTGCGAATTGCGAAGCTGCCGCTGAATTCGAGGGCTGTGGGCCGCCCGAAAACCTAGCGGCGCGCCTGTGAGCGTTTAGCTTCCGCACTGAAAGGTGCAGGAAGGAGGCCGAGAAGCTGGCGGGCGAGCTAGGTCTCGCTCGCTTCTTGCACTAGCTATAAGCACACCTAATCCTTTGGAGCGCCACGGCGGCATGTCGCATGCAGCGCTGCATGTCCAGCGTGCCGTTGGACAAAACGCCACCATTATTTGAACGGCCTTCTGCCAGTGCCGCCGATCCAGGGCGCTCCAGATGCTGGTAGCTGGCACAACGCCGACAACGACGACGATGACGACCTCGATGCCGACAACGGACGACTAACGACTAATGGGAGGAGGGAGGTGGGTGGCGGGAGGAGGGAGGCGGGAGGAGGGGGAGGGAGGAGGGAGGAGTGAGGAGGAAGGAGGGAGGATGGGGAGGGTGGGAATGAGGGAGGAGGACGAGGAGGCGGAGGAGGAGGAGGAGGAGCAGGAAGACCAGGATGAGCAGGAGTATGAAGGAGCATGATGACAACGTGGATGAGGACGAGGACGAGCACGATGATGATGATGATGATGATGATGATGATGATGATGATGTTGTTGATGATGATGATGATGATGCTGATATTGATGCTGATGCTTATTATTATTGT